TAGACAATTGACAATTCTGTTCAGCTTATGGAGGCACTGGGATTATAGCTTTCAGAAGGTTGCGCATTCCACTGGTAGCAAGTGCGCCACTCGCTGTGTGGGAATGCTGGTTAAAATGCGCCATTTCAACCGGCTTTGCGCAAGGTATACCACCAAAAGCTTTACAGAATTGAAGGTTGTTGTAAGGTTCTATGTAGGTATAATTTGAATGCTATATTCCCGCGCGCGCTATTTTAAACTTTTCCCGGTCGGGTAACTGATCCCCTGTAGGCTGTGTAATAAAACCTCGATCTGACGGTGTAAACATAAGCCGTTTATGATTATAGAAGAACTATGGATGGAATCAATTTGCGAATTACTCAATTATATGTTAACAAGCCCAATTTTTACTTTGCTCGTTGCTTTTTGGACGAAGGCGGATTTGATTTGTACGTGGGTGACCTTCCTAGTGTACAGAAGAAATCTGATACTACGAATAATTCCTACTGTAAACAATAGTTCGAAGTCCAATTCCCGTTGCTTTTACAATAAACGTCTGGCCTTTATAGCTGTCACAGTCACAGTTCGATACTTGCTAGCTGTAATTTCGATATGTCTGGACCAGTATGTTTTGTTGTTGCAAAATATCGTAGAGGAAAACCAGCTCCTTAGAGAACAGAATAATAGCCAATACAAGTACAGGGAGCGAGAATGCGCTGAAGAATTTCAACGAGAAGATGGATATCATTACTCGATCTTATTCTGAGAGACGAGTCAGACACTCAGACAAACGGGAAAAAATATACAGAGAGTGCCCAAAGGCAAGGCTTGCAATGTAAGTACATGTGAAACGTTTATTTATACAGTGTATATTTCCGTTTACAATTGTCAGACAATGCATCATTGCTTCGTACAGTATATGGATATAAAAAAACTTTGTCCATTTGACCGTTATAAAAATACAGTTTATTTGAAATATTGGCTCCAAATTTGAAATCATTTTCAAAATCAATGACATATACATATATCACTGTATAGTCCAGTCAGTCCAGTATTTTTTAGCTAAATACAGCACAATGGATTCACCGAATTAGTCTTTAAATTATATTATATTATATGCAACTGATTATTACCTGCTTCTTAAAATTGCCAGTATTAATTTCATACATTCGAGTGCCTCAATACTGTAATGCCTTCGTAGCCTGTTCATGCATATATAGAAGCCAGACTGTCCTGCAGACAGTACGAGATGCGGGATGAATTTCTCTTGTGTTTATATGAGAAAAATTCATCCCGCTTGCCGGGAACAATTTTGTTATTCTGTTTGATATATTTTATTGTTTTGACAGTAAGTTAAAAATAGCTTGCGGCGATATATTTGAACTTTCATCCTGGAAAACGGCCTATAGCCCGCTCGTGAGTGTTTAGATGCAGAAATTTCCATCCCAGTAAGCGAAATCTCGCCTCTTTCGACCAAGATCTCGGCAATCTGGCAGCCCGCTTGTCTATATAAATGCGCAGCAATTTTTACTATAAAAATAACTACACAGTGTGAGCGAGATCTTGCTTGGGTTTAGGGCTTTTGATTTGGCAAATAATCCTATAGTACGCTGCTATAGTTGTACATTATACTGCTTATGATCTTGCGGATTTTGTATTGTAACTATGACAAGATAGATAGATCATAAGCAGTATAATGTACAACTATAGCAGCGTACTATAGGATTATTTGCCAAATCAAAAGCCCTAAACCCAATTCTTTGCGTGCTTAGAGTTTAAGGTTTTCGAAGATAACCTTTTTTCAATTAGCTGTTACCATACAATAATGTTGCTAATATTATCTGTGTTCATTTTTAGAAACTGGCAAGAACATTCAAACATCTTAATAAAGTTAACTGGAGCCAGGAAAGAGTGTCAAAGGTGGCAGATGGCCTCCGACGATGGAGTACATGTCATCCGACAAAAGTGAGCTAGATGGACGAAGAAACTTATACGGTGAAACAGTACAACGTGCGAAAGTTTGCCTGGGAAAGCAAAGAAGAATCGATAAAGAATCACTAGGATTTTCTGCCTGGACTATCAAGGAGAGTCATGACTCATCGAACCTGGCAAACCAGCGAACATGGCCAACTGTCCATGCAGATTGGTCACATATGAGGTTGAAAATGGACGAGCGCAAGTCGCAGATGTTGACACAAATCCGCCACTATATAGAGGGAATGAGCTCGTTATTTACTCGAAATACATTATGAAACAGCTACTACCAGTTAGGACCAGCGCTAAAAATTTAAGGATTTGCATCATTCGCTTGGCTTTGCCCGCTCTGCATGTTTTAGTCTTAATTGCCTTTTACCGTTTCCAGGGCAATATAAGTGAATTTAGCTGTGTACACTGTAAATTTCAAGGAGTTCAATCAACTCAAAATGTTTTATTTTGTAACCAAAAAGGTCTAAAACGACTACAGAATAACATTTTAGAGTTGATTATACAGACTCCTTGAAATTTACAGTGTATTGTACATAAATTGGCAACAATTTTTGCCAGCTGAAAAGAATTTTCTAACGAACGAGTCACAAACATTAGTCACTTTTATCTTACAAAGCCAATCTCAAAACGTAATAATTTTAGGTTCCGTTTTTATACTGGGTCTTTGTCCGCCTGCACAAATCCGTTTTCGTATAGTGTTTTCTATATTTCCTTGTAAACGGATGACAATATCGTACGTGAGAACGCTATGCGAGAAAGGATTAGTCTGGGCTTATTATAAATGTTTCAGTTCGATATATAATTTTAGTTTCATTTTCATACATGAACGGGTGTAGTATATGTATATGTTATAATAAATTTATATTAAAGATGAACGCGTGTTGTATATTTGAGTTAATGTTGCATTTCATCATTACAAATGATTACTCTGATTTTTACATGTTCTTATAATAATTACCGAAGCATGTACCTTGAGTCATGCAAGCAAGACCGGGTTTTTGTAATCATGACCATGAATAATACTGTATTGTCAGAAAATATGACACAAATTCGAGATTTTCAATTTAAAAAGCGCACTAAAAAGCCCAACGTCACAAGCGATGCAACTTATTGCAAATATAATAGAGCGACTAAATAGAACTAAAATGGCACTTACACAAAGTTTAATCAATGTATGAAATGTGATTAATTCATTCTTTATATCGCTTTAAGCGGTCTTTAATCAACTGATTAAATTTACCTTTAATAACCCATAAGCAACACATTTTTGTATGATTAAAGTTGTCTTTAATCAACAATTCTACCAATATTAAAGGCGAATAAATACATCTTTAACCGCATTTTATCGGTCTTTAATCGGCCGAATTAAATGCACACTTAGTATCCTTTATTGAACTTTAATCTCTGGGTATTAATGTGGTCGTTAATACACTTAATGCAACGAACTAAAGGTGTTAAAACGCACCTTTAATCTCTTTAATAAAACGCATTAAGTGCGACTAAACACGAATAAAATACACCATTAATCCTACTTTAATAGCATATTAAAGGTGCGCTTTTCGTCCTGTGATATGCTGGTTAATTACCATTCATATTGATTATTGGGCAAATGAGTCATGTATACACACGTTAATTATCCGTTTTCTGCTATACCTTTTTGGCCCTATACTGGCCCTATAAGTCTAAAAATAATAGTGTGCAAAACAAGTGTTCTTAGTTCTTATTCCTTATCAGCAAAAAACAACTTATGTCCTTCCACCAGGCTGTCATAAAAATTGCCCAAATTTTTTGGCACTGCACGAGAAAGCAACCATTCCATATGTCTTGAAGGAAGATAGCCATTGTACAAATTATGTGATAAACCAAATATTGTACAAGCCTGGTCAGGATCATTCTCATCTGCTGTAGCAATGATAAACTGTCCGCCATTTGTCATTCTGATATACGGACCCACGTTTGCTGGCTTAGACCTGTGCGAGGCATTGATGTACGGGAGAAGATATGCTTGTTTACCATACCACTCTACCTCTATGCCTGCAGTTGTGAAGAGCACGAGATCTCGATCAGTAAGAGGCCATGCTAATTCTACTCTATTATATATCAAATATTCCCCACCATCCGGGTATTCCTCCAACACTTCGTTATCAACGAATCCTTTGTCCCATTTACAGCGAAGCTCCATGTTTTTCGGGTTCGAAATTTCTATGAACTGTTGTACGGACAAGGGTAGGTGGAATTTCAGCAACACTTTAGTTGGTATTTCTTCATTCGGGAAGGTTTTGATCCAAGATGTTTTGTTTTCCAACTTTTGTATTTCTCGCCAACCTCCTTTCTGTAAATCGTCATGATACCACTTCGCTTGAGCTAACACGTTCTCGCACGAGAAAGATTTTGCGTAGTCGACAGTTTTGTTGCCAGACATCTCGCTCTTGCTCTTAAAATCTAAAATAATAAAATAATAAAATAATTTACGCACAGTACTATTTCACTAAAATTTAAAAAGACGTGCATGCATGATCTTCCAATAGGCCGTGCTATAAGACAACTACATAATTATATAGTACAAATTTACAACCAATGCGATAGAGTCAGAAAGAAAAAATTAAATAATAAAAACTAATTATGCACAACTATTAAATCTTAAGGTATTTAAAAGTTCCAATGAATCCAAATTTTTCAAGTGAAGTCAGATGATAAATTATTCGAAGCCACCGTGCACTTTTTACAAAAGTTTCTATTTAGGTTCGGAAGGGCAACATTTAATTCTGTTTTCAAATTGGTATATAGACAGGTCGATCAGGCGCCATGTTATTATTGATCTGATATTAAAGATGCGGTACAGTCCGATCTGCGTATGTGCACAAAGGAGCCCTCTTTTTATTTACAAACAGTTTATTTAGGTTTTTATTTCATTTTATGTTCTTGCAAAGCTTGATTGTTGTCTCTTCTTAATTTATTATACTCTAGAATCATGAAAATATAAATAGTTCTCGAATAAAATTATTCAATATTTTAGATACCGAAATGTAAACAAAGGCTTTGTTTACATACGGACTGTACCGCATCTTTAATATAACTGATTGTTTTTCCTAACACTGAGAGATTTGGTACCGTAGGGCCTCCCAGAGGGGGGGGGCAAAGGGGGCAATTTGCCCCGGGGCCCAAAAATTTTTAAAAGGGGGGGGCAACAAAAGGTGTAGTTAAAAAAAATTATTTGGAACATTTTTATATAAATAATAGTATGAGTAAAATTTTTTAGACCTTAATTTAATTTACTGCAGGTATTGGTCCGAAAAAGTGCTTTACCCGTGTTTTTACAGGTACTTGTCTGGAAAAATGTTTTGATTTTAATATATTAACTATAGTGGTCCGGAAAAATGTTTTGAACCTTTTCAAAACAGATTGAGTCTCAAAAACAAAAGATTGAGTCTCCTCAATCTCTAACGGGTAATTATATTTAATGCCTACTCTTGGGCGGTAAATCGCCTTAAATCGCTGCGATATAATGCGATTTTGGGCGATTTTAGGCGATTTAAGAAAAAACTGGGACTTTCAAGCACTGCGATTTAATGCGATTTTAGGCGATTTAAGAGAAAATTCTAAATTTTAGGGTTTGCAACTTAGACCTGTGTTTTCAAGGTAATTGAATTTTATATTTTGCTCCGGTTTCCTCCCACAAGGCAAAATATGGCAGGGTGGGTTAGAATAAACACAGTTAGAAAAGTGATGTCATATTCTCATTGTTATAAAGATATATAGTCTAGACTAACATAAGTAACCCTAATACTTTATGTAAGCAGTGACTGAAAAGCCCCAAAGGGGAGTGAGCTGAATAATGTAATGTTTTCACACACATTGACACATATGCATTGTATGAAGCAAAATACAATTATTAGAACATGTATGTACATTTTATATAAAGCTAGGTTAATAATTATTGTATTTAACCCGAATCATATATAAAGCTCAATATTCGTGAACTTTTCATCCATTGTCTTATTTAGAAGCCATTGGAGTTCATCTTGTGGGGTCATGTGGTCATGCATTCATGGCTACATTATATACCACAAATATTGTAAACAGTTAATAAATATACTCTACTTAAGGGACATGTACGGTACATAATTGCAAAATACCAACCTATAAATTGCAAAATATAATAGATATTTGATTTCCAAAAGAACCACAGCCCACAGGGAGTAGAAACGCACAATATATTTATACAGTTACAATAAGCTATATTCCTATAAATTACCTTGTCACCCTTGTAAGTGAAATTGTCTTGTTTTGTATCTTGTCAACAATTCTTTATTTAGCTTGCATTTTATTTAAACTGTTTCAACAAACATGTTTTATAAAATTATGTTTGATATCTATATCCAGAAACAGTTTGAAACAGTATTGTCACGCATTCGGAAACTGTCGGCGTAATGCCGTAAAGTTTAATTTAAATGAAGTACATCGCATATAAATGGTCGGAATTTTAAATTATTTAAAAAAAATACTAAACAAAATGATATTAAACAAATGGCACACCGCGCACTACATCGTGGTTTTAAGTCTTTTACCTGATAATTTGTCAAGTGTTCTGCAAACAAGAAACAACAAAGATTGTATGGTATGTACGATGTAATCATTGTTTTACTGTTTATTTTATATACAGGTCTGGAAAATTTAATAGGTGAGAGTTGCAAAACTTGCAAATCTCGCTCATATTAAACCTCACGTATGTTTTTCGTATGATAGCCAATATAATTATAACTAGGAGCCAGAGTATAACCATGCACATGTCGAAGTACAACCATTGTATAGCCTAGTTCTCATTCATCGCAAACTGTCACCGACGATCGGCGACGCTTATTGCCGATGCTCGCCGATCGCGAATGTACGAAAGTTCTCATACATCGGTGAACGTCGCAGATGACAGCCGATGTGTTTCGAAATTTCTCACCAAGGCACAAAATGGCCCCGTTCAACGTAAAGATCATGATTTATGTCAAACTTCAGTTGATTATTTCCTTGCTTGTTGAGGAAAAAACAACTTTTACTCATTTTTCATAGATTTTTCAAGCAGGTGGCAGTCGGCGATGGTCGCAAGAAACAAACTTTTTTGTTTCCTGCGATGTCATCGCCGATGGTCGGCGACGATTATGGAAAATCGGCGATATAATTTTTGATGTGTTCTCATAAATCGCAAGCGGTCGCCGACGTCGCAAAGCTCCCATCGCCGACGGTTTGCAATGAATGAGAACTAGGCTTATACAATGCAGTGCTCGATCTACATGCAACAGTGCATAAATTGCAGGATGACCTTATTATATACTCGTACTCATTGACTCTCATTATCATAGTCTCCTACTGTTGTTCTAACAGCAATTAGGCTTTGAGAAGCCATGTATATTATAGATTAATTTGTAGCCCAGCCACCATAGTCCATATAAATTGTGGCCCAGCCTCCACATTTTACACCAATAATGAAATTAACCAGTAACTCAATTTTTTGCTGGTAGTGTAATGGAATCTATGGGTCTTTCATATCCCAGAATTGCCTAATTATTGTAAAGTCTGCATAAAGCAGAAAAAGGCTCTGTTTTTATTAACGACCGGAGCCTATTGAGTGACCAAATATTGTCAGCCTAATCCACTTATTTGATTTATCCATGTTGCATTACTTTTGATTGCAAAACACCTGGATTATACATGATTTGCCAGCAAAATAGCAGCAATTGATAAACTTGAGTACATTATTGACTGAATGTATCAAACAGAATGCATGTTGGCGAGTTAATGCGATTTTAAGCATGGGCGTACGGGAAGGAAAATATTAGGGGTTGGAAAGAAGTGATTGGGGGGGGGGAGAAGTGATTACAAAAAATTCCTATTAGATAGCATATTTCCCACATAATTGACAGAATTTCCCACAAAATTGACAGAATTTGTCCCATTTATTTCTATAATAAACCAATATTGCCCGACTGTGAAGCGAATATTGCCCGGCTGGCTTTGTTTGCCCAACAAAGCCAGGGGGCGACCGCCCAGCCAGAAACTGGGGGGGGAAGTCGCCCCACCCCTTCCACCCCCACCCAGTAGGTCCATGATTTTAATCGATTTTAGGCGATTTAAAGCGATTTAAAGCGATTTTAGGCGATTTAAGAGAAATTTGACCATTTTAACCCGCGATTTAATGCGATTTTGGGCGATTTTAGGCGATTTAAGGCGATTTACCGACCCAGAGTAGGCCTTATTTATTTTTAATAATATTAATATTTTGCTTGTATTATCTCCACCATTCTTCATTGCCATGTTTTTGTGTGGATGATTGAGCTTCTTGACGACTATATATAGAAATTTTGGGTTTTGGAGTTTTTAAGATAATCATGTAAAATACAAATTGTGCACAGCAAGCTCGCGTTCTCTTCTTCGGTTATTTTGGCTTTACTATTTAAATTATGCTAAAATATATTCGGGGTCACATTGATGCGCTCAGTAAAGGCTTAATTCTCGTCTTTTAACTTCTCTGCTAGATAGCTTCGTGGAACCGTCTTTATAAGGTGATTAAGGTCTTTAATTGCCGAGTTAGAAGCATTTTAATAACTTGTTATATAGCTTGCTTTTTAGGTCTTTCAACTCTATTATGGTAGCTTTGACGACATTCTTGAAGTCTCCATTGTCATTACATTAATATTCATGCTAGTCGAAGCTTCGCTGAGTTCGCTTCCTCGTGCAATGTGGCCGTCATGGTCAAAAGCTTCGGTTTTGTTTTCAAGGTGCTCTGCCATCGAAGCTTATTAATATTAGACAAATTTTTCTTCGATCTGTTCCTTCAGCTTTCCATTTAGCGCAATTGTTGAATATGTCTGAGTACCATGATGCATGTTTAGCATGTCTGTTAGGGCAGCCCCAAACACACTGTTAATTTCAGGGTGTTAAAATAACACCTCGGGTGGTGTTAGATTAACACCAACTGGTGGTGTTAAACAAAGGTGTTATTTTAGCACCCTTTTCCGGTGCCAATTTAACACGACGTAAATAAAAATATTTTGCAAAGTGTTAATTTAACACTCAAATTGTTTAACACCACTTTAGAGGTGTTAAAATAACACCCACTTAAGGACAGGTGGTGTTAAAATAACACCGGTTTCTGGTGCTAAATTCTTGGTGTTAAAATAACACCATAAGTGGTGCTACGAATTTGTATTCCCCAGTGTTAAATTAGCACTGTTTGTGGAGTGAG